TGGGGGGGGGGGGAGGGTGTAACATCTTCAGCTACAGTGGTGGAATCTCTAAATGACATCATGATAAAGATTGAAGGATCAGAATCGATCGAAACTTGTAGCTAGATAAAGTTACAATCTAGATGAGGACCTGCTGTAGCATAATCTGTTAGGGTATTGGAATCTTATCATGAATTCATTTGCTTGTTTATGACATAACCCCAAAGCTAACCTATTTCTAAGTGCTTTGCACATTTAAATTTGCGCTTTTAGACACTCTAGAGGTGAAACGGGATATTAGGCTACATCCTACTTTTCTACACTTGTTTGGGCTATTGAGGACTGGAAACACCATGCAGTATCCAAAGAGGGAAATATTTCAGGCAGTGGTATTAGCCTACTCTTGTCCGATTTCCAACTGTTGAGATATCTTTAATGATGTGATTCACTCGATCAATTAGAAAAGACAACATTGTTAATACTTCAAAACGTCATGTGACGTTTGTATTTGACCTAATATCGTAATTTCACGGAATCAGATAGCTGAAGTACCCCTTTAATATTCTAATCATCCAGACGTAAAATGATTACTTCAAATTAATCTCAATTACCCAGTCTTAAAGAGTCTCAAATTGGAAGAACAAAGCAAATTAATGCAACATTCAGTTTAGTTTTCTTATTTTATCTTCATTATCCTGTCAAAACGTCTGGCATCGCAGAAAAAATTTAAATAAAGACTCTATCATCCAGTGCACGGTAGGTTAAATTAACTTGTCATTAATTTGTAATTTGTCTTCACTTGTTTAACATCAGTTTTCTTTATAAGATTAGTGTTTTGTTGGATTCTAAAATTCTCACAAATGAAATGGAGTTTTACCTCCTACTTTTCAGGGCCACTTTGGGTAAAAGAGGACTGACAATGCCATGCTGGGTGCAATGAGGGAAATTTTGTCAGGACATCGGCATTAGCCTGCTCGTGTTTGATTTCTAACTGTTTACGGATCTTTATGAGCACAGAATATAGAACAGGGGGCTTCAGACTGAAAGCTCTTTCCATTTCAGCTCACTGAACATGAGCGATTAAATTAAAGATGTCTTACCTTCAGGGGGACATTTGGAACCGTCAAAGCCACAAGTCGGGGTATCAGGGGGTGGGGAAGTCAATCCACCTGCCCAGTGAATATCTTTACCCACAACTGGTTCATATTTCTTCTTGTTGCCATAGTAATTAGCCACCACCTGAAATTAAAAATGAAATGGAGTTTTACATTCTACTGTTCTGCTTGTGTATGGGCTCAGGAAGAATAAAAGCAGTGTGCAATGAGGAAAACTTAACTAGCACACTCCTCCAGTTTAAGGAACATGAATAACTCTCTCTATCTCTTCAACTTTCTAATTTCCTTCTGTTATTTATCATGCAGTGTGCAATGAGGGAGCTTTTTGATACTGCATTGGGTTTATCTTTATTCTGAAGGGGACATATTTTTCTTAATTTCCTTCTGTTAATTATCATGAAGTGTGCAATGAGGAAAATTTTTAATCAACTATAGATTTAATTTCTCTATTCTGATGATGGTATCTTTTCTAATTTCCTTGTGTCTTTCATCTTACATTATGACATGTTTCTTATTAATATGTTAATTAATTTCATATTAATATGTCATTTAATTATTTTTTCAAATTAATGACATCCTCTGTTAATTAATGTTTTGTATCTTGTTAATGAAATATACAGCTGGTGATAGATATGACTGTCTGTCTGAATCCAATCTTATTAAATTTACATTACAATTTCCTTGCTTTCTTTTCAGATATTTTTCATCTCAATTGTAATCTAACAAGTATTATATGATAGTCCTGTTCTAAAGAAATCATTTCTAACCAATCAAAGCGTGTAATGTAGAACCTTATCACAAAGAATTGATGAATAGCTAATAATGTTTATTTTGATATTTAGGTTTGTCAACTCATTATCTCTTACAGAGAGTTCACATAGCTAATATTGTTTATGTGGTATCTAGGTTTGTCAACTCAACATCCCTTTTCACTTTCAGAGTGTTCACATAGCTAATAATATTTATTCATAATTTAGGTTTGTCACCTTAAAATCCCTTTCTGAGAGTCCACATAGCTAATAATTTTTATTTGTAATTTAGGTTTGTCACCTTAAAATCTCTTTCTGAGAGTTCACATAGATATTAGTCTTTCAAAATGACAATCAAAGAAGAAAAGGGTTAATTCTTCAAAGAATCTGGTATTGAACAATGCATTTTAAACATTTAAACTATGAAACCTTGACAGGTTGGCAGCAAAACCCTGATTGACTAAACTTAGAGCCGATAAGTCTGATATTTCAGGAACTTTAAGAATTGTCTGAGACTATGGCATCAAGTCCTGAATATAGATGACCTGTATAGACTAAACCATTGTTCCTGGAAGTTAATAGCAGAATTTATATGGCACCAATCTGAATATATCAGAAATATATCAGTCCAAGAGTTTAATCAAGATGGCACAGGAATAATCTTTTGTCTCAGGACAGATTGTTTGCAGACTAGCCTATAATCTATACAGAGCACTCTAAGTACAAAATAGGTTTCAGAGGCTACAAGTTATACAGAGTACACTAAATACTTGTTTCAGGGATCCACAGTTGGGGTAAATCATAACTCCAAACCCCAAATCAGTCCACTACAGTTACCATTCATCCGCCCCTCCCTTCATTACTTAATTGGCACCAATTTTTAGGGATCAAAATACCCAATTCACAAGTCCCCCTCAATTGTCCCTTCTCCAGCCTCCACCCCCCATTCTACCCTGCAATACTAGAGTTATTTATGGTCACTAGGGTGACATCACACACAAGTTTACATCATCAGAATGACCTGCCCATCTCCCCTTCCTTGTGATACAAGACTAGCACCAGTCCCCCCTCCCCCCCTCCAGTACTTTAATAACGCCATTATAAACGGTCAGGATGGCCTGCTGTCAGTCCAGATTAATCCAGTATGTAAATGATGTCTAATACTCAATAATTCTCTTTGTCTTGATTATCCAGTCTGATATTATCTTAATTTACTTTCCATGTATCTATTTCCTCCCCATTTATTTTCTTTTATACTCTCTATTCTTGTTATAGTTAATATAAATACTTAATGAATAGTATTAGCTATGTGGACTCTCTGAAAGGTACACCAAGTTAAAAGACCTAAATACCAAAATAACAGTATAGTTGTGTAGACTCTCTGAAAGGGATACCGAGTTGACAAATCTAAATACCAAATAAACATTAAAAGCAAACTAATACATACCTCAAATTTACTGTTTTCTGGATTCATATCCAGCAGGGAATAATCAGCATTCCGGTCTCCATTGGCGTCGATACTGACGGTGCCAGTTATTCCTGGAAATAGATCAAGATTGAATCATCCCTAAGGTCAACAAAAAAATTTGACCACAGCCTTTAGATTATCTTTGAAAGATCAATGTCAAAATGAAATGAAATGAATGGAGTTTCAGTCCTACTTTTCTGCACCATGTGGGCTAATGAAGACGGGCAACGTCATGCAGAGTGCGATGAGGGAAATTTTGCCATGACAGCGGCATTAGCCTGCTCTTTTTCGATTTCCAACTGTTGAGGGATCTTTAACGTACACAGCCTGTAGCATACGGGGCCTCGGTTTATTGTCCCATACGAACAATTAGACGCTTTTTCCATGTCAGCCCCTCTTACCTGCATCACTGACAGGAGGAAACCGGGTTGAAAAATCCAAAGGAATTATCTCGACCTATGCTGGGATTGAACCCTGGACCTTCAGGTTAGCGAGCAAGTGTCTAACTCACTGAGCCACAGCGGCTCCCAAAGATCAATGTCAAGAGGTTTGGTCAAGGACTAACTGGTAGAAAGGATCTTTGTGAATCAAAGTTGTTATCTGTGTAAAATGTTTTTACCTTTTTCTTTTAATTCTAATATTTTTCAACATTATTTTAAATGATAGTGTTTTTACAGTATTGTTAATAACAACTTGTTACTACGCCTTTTCATTGGACAAATATGGTTCATCTCTAGATATATTTTCTATTGTACAGATATTTTAAATTTTATTATTCATGACGAAAATAGAGAAATTGTGAAATTTTTTCTCGCAAAAAATATCGTGAAAATCGTGCCAACTGTTGCATTGTGTTTTCAAGAACTTCATCACCTCCAGCAAAATAAATAAAATCTTGCGAATTTCTTGAAAATTGTTTTCTTCAAGTATGTTGATTTAGATCTATAACATGGAGGCTGTTCTCGGAACCGACAGTACGACTTGGTAATATTTGTTCATGAACCATTCAATTTTAAAAATAGTCATTCTTATTTGAAGAAATTTTGTCATATATCTCTATGTTACTTTAAGAGTTAGTGCTCTGAACTAAGATAATAGGCCTATGTAGATTTGGAACTTAAACCCTGCCACAGACGAGAGAAACTAACTGAGCTGCCTGCCTCAAGAGATTGGGTGCTAAACTGTACACTGAATTTTTAGTGAGATTTCTGCCTCGAGAGGCTGCGAGGAAACTATCTACTTGTTTGACATTTTTTGCCTCAAGAGGCCAGAAATTCTCCATGTGCATCTCCTGCTGCCAGCTGAGCTAGAAAAAGTAGCTAACCAATAAAAACGCATTGATGGAATTCTAAGGAATTCCAAAACAGTGAAGTGAGGCCATTTTGATCAGTTAACTGACACGGATGCAGTCCGAACGTTCTTCGGTTGTTTTCGTTGACGTACAGATTTTCTAGTGAGATAATATCTCAGGAGAGAGCTCTTGTCTGCTGTGAAATCAGTAGTGAGAATGTTGCTCAGCTCCCGACCTTTTGAGACCGGCAGCTCAGCTAGTTCATCTCGTCTGCAGCAGGCTTAAGCAAGCACGTGGCAGGGTGTGTTAACGTTTTTATAGACACAAGGTGTTAACTAACAATAGATCACAATTGAGAAAGCTGTTTTACCAAATGAATGAAGAGGATTGACTTCCAAACTTTTAGCTCTTAATTCAGTTGTCTACTTTTATAAAACAGTTTTCTAAAAACAATGTAAGGTCTTGCCTGCAGTTGCCTAATGAAATAACAACATTGTCCATCTTTGTAGAACCACTCCTGGGGAAAAAATGGATTGTCCCCCTGCAAAAATTCGGACAACCAACCAATTTCAATACTGCAAATAAATACTATACACCATTACCCCTCCTAATATATTACTTGCGCCTCCTAATATATTACTTGCGCCTCCAGATATATTACTTGCGCCTCCTAATATATTACTTGCGCCTCCAGATATATTACTTGCGCCTCCTAATATATTACTGGCCCCTCCAGATATATCACTTTCCCCTCCAGATATATCACTTGCCCCTCCAGATATATTACTTGCCCCTCCAAATATATTACTTGCCCCTCCAGATATATTACTTCTCCCATCAGATATATTACCTGCCCCTCCAAATATATTACTTCTCCCACCAGATATATTACTTATCCCTCCAGATATATTACTTGCCCCTCCAGATATATTACTTGCGCCTCCTAATATATTACTTTCCCCTCCAGATATATCACTTGCCCCTTCAGGTATATTACTTCTCCCATCAGATATATTACTTGTCCCTCCAGATATATTACTTGTCCCTCCAGATATATTACTTGCCCCTCCAGATATATTACTTATCCCTCCAGATATATTACTTGCCCCTCCAAACAATCCAGTCTGGCTAAGGGCCAGGTAAAAACAGTTTCCATACCTTCAGTTATCAACCAATATAACAAGACACATTCAGAAAAAAAAAACACAAAACAAAATCAATGCTGGCTTTAGAAATTTCATATAAAAAATTAAGAATTAAAAATGGATTTGTTAGAATTTGCGAAGATCAATATGTTTGATTGAACATTAATCGGTGCCACCTCTCTACTTGACAACTTGTCAAATATTGTCTTTCATCTCAAATTCTTCTTCCTTTCATCTTGTTTCTTTACGACAAGTTCTTACTCTCCATCTTAGATTGATCTTACACCATGATACTAATCAGGTTATAAATATAACATCCACAAATCAAATATATCTTAAAGAGAGATAAGAGTGGTGTTTTTTAGGCTTAGTATGTGTATCAGAGACACTTATATCTTCTACTCCCTCCAAACCGACTTTCAAGACACTTATGGCTTCTTAGAATAGTATAAATAGAAGCTATAAGTGTACCTGATACACATACAAAGACTAGAAAATCAGAATGGTGTAAATAGAAGCTATAAGTGTCTCTGATACACATACAAAGACTAGAAAATCAGAATAGTGTGAATAGAAGCTATAAGTGTACCCGATACACATACAAAGACTAGAAAATCAGAATGGTATAAATAGAAGCTATAAGTGTCTCTGATACATATACAAAGACTAGAAATCAGAATGGTTTAAATAGAAGTTATAAGTGTCTCTGATACACATACAAAGACTAGAATATCAGAATAGTGTGAATAGAAGCTATAAGTGTACCCGATACACATACAAAGACTAGAAAATCAGAATGGTGTAAATAGTAGCTATAAGTGTCTCTGATACACATACAAAGACTAGAAAATCAGAATGGTTTAAATAGAAGCTATAAGTGTCTCTGATACACATACAAAGACTAGAATATCAGAATAGTGTGAATAAAAGCTATAAGTGTACCCGATACGCATACAAAGACTAGAAAATCAGAATGGTGTAAATAGAAGCTATAAGTGTCTCTGATACATATACAAAGACTAGAAAATCAGACTGGTTTAAATAGAAGTTATGAGTGTCTCTGATACACATACAAAGACTAGAAAATCAGAATGGTGTAAATAGAAGCTATAAGTGTCTCTGATACATATACAAAGACTAGAAAATCAGAATGGTGTAAATAGAAGCTATAAGTGTCTCTGATACACATACAAAGACTAGAAAATCAGAATGGTGTAAATAGAAGCTATAAGTGTCTCTGATACATATACAAAGACTAGAAAATCAGAATGGTTTAAATAGAAGTTATAAGTGTCTCTGATACACATACAAAGACTAGAATATCAGAATAGTGTGAATAGAAGCTATAAGTGTACCCGATACACATACAAAGACTAGAAAATCAGAATGGTGTAAATAGTAGCTATAAGTGTCTCTGATACACATACAAAGACTAGAATATCAGAATAGTGTGAATAGAAGCTATAAGTGTACCCAATACACATACAAAGACTAGAAAATCAGAATGGTGTAAATAGAAGCTATAAGTGTCTCTAATACACATACAAAGACTAGAATATCAGAATGGTGTGAATAGAAGCTATAAGTGTACCCGATACACATACAAAGACTAGAAAATCAGAATGGTGTAAATAGAAGCTATAAGTGTCTCTGATACACATACAAAGACTAGAATATCAGAATGGTGTGAATAGAAGCTATAAGTGTCTCTGATACACATACAAAGACTAGAATATCAGAATGGTGTGAATAGAAGCTATAAGTGTACCCGGTACACATACAAAGACTAGAATATCAGAATGGTGTAAATAGAAGCTATAAGTGTACCCGGTACACATACAAAGACTAGAATATCAGAATGGTGCTAATAGAAGCTATAAGTGTCTCTGATACACATACAAAGACTAGAAAATCAGAATCACCAAAACACAAAAACCTTGAAGAGTCTCTTTAATTCACTGTTCAATATATTTCTTGTAGAAACATATAGAAAAAAGTTGATTTATGTGATGTTTAAATCACCATGTTTTTGCTTCAGTTATCAGATGATTAAAGAGGGAGAATTATTCAATACTGAATCCAAATCATTTTTGAAATCTAATTTACCCCGTGTTGATTTTCCAACAAGAAATCTGATTGTTTTGCGTGATTTAAATTTAAACCATCGCTGTCAGGGAATAAATCTGCCTGAAAAACGACCAAATGTGATTTTTATGTCGCTAATAAAATAAGCGAAACAGATTGTAAAATTACATCGTAATCTTACGACCATGAAAATCTGGGGAAAATGCAGAAAATTTTGTTTTTATCTATGTTACAATGATTTAAATAAATTAGGGTCTTTGATGAAAACATGGTGGAATAATTCAGATAAATCTTCGGAAATTGACGACTCTGTAATTGATAGATTTATTCCGTCATTTTAAGTTTTCCAGGGAATGAATCTTTATTCTGATTATATTCGATCTTATTCTAATCTTGCTTACACTTGTTTTACGGCAAGTCACTAATTATAAAATTTACGTGATGTTTTTGTCATCATTAAAAATTCGCTTTTAAAAAAAGAAAGGAAGATAAAAACAACTATATTTTACAAGGATAACAACTTAGGTTCTCAAGGATTCTTTCTATCAGCTGGTCCTTGATCAAGCCTCTTGGTAATGTTTTTGCAAGGATAACAATTTAGATTTACAAAGATCCTTTCTACCAGCTCGTCCTTGGTCAATCGTCTTGTTACCCATGGGTCCTCATTGTTTCATATACCGATATGATTGATTTTGTGTGATGCCAGTCTGATAGTCAGTATAAGAAAGGACAGGGTTAGAGGGGGGGAATAGGGTGAATTCGATCTTACCTTCAAATGTTCTATTCCACATCCTCTGGGTAATGTGAGATCCGTTGGATATTGAGATGTTGGCTTCAAGAGTCTCATTCAACGCCAGGGAGTACAATAATACTGCATCATGGAAGGCTCCCACAAAACTGTTCACCTGAAACATTGAAGGAGTAAGCTTTTATTCAATTGCAATAGAACCGGAAATTGGGTTTCTTTTCTGAAAAGAGACACAGGTGACCAAAACTGACTTCTGGCTAAGTCATCATTTTATTTCCCTTTGGACCTCAACACAAGTAATAGAAATGTGTTACCTCTTCTTCTCCATAAGTAAAATTATTATACATGGTTTTAGCTCGTTTCTTCACCTCTTCAGAGAACATCCTGTATTCGGGGCTGTTTGGTTTTCTCAATGTTACAGTCATTAGGGCATCGTAGGCTTTTCTGGCTTTATCATTCCGCTCTTCAGTATCGTTTTCACGGTACCACGGTCTCTCACTGGCATTTTTACTGAAATATATAAAAGTTATTCATAAAGATTTTATCATTATTATTATTATTATGGTGAAAAATAAATTACGATCCACTGCAATATACAGATTCCAGTAATGAAAATATCTAGCTGACCATTTTTCAATAACAAAATTGTCAGTCCAAAACATGCAAACAGATTCAGAATCCAACAACATGCAAAATAGAGATCAATAATCTAATATACAACTAATTTGTTAGTCCAAAACATGAAAACAGAGTCAAAATCCAACACCATACGATATATAAATCCCAATATGCCTTGCTGCTTTTGTTTGATAATTATTGCAGTGTGTAGCTAGCAGGGCTTGCTCATCTTTCAGAACACTTAATACCACTCTTTGTAGAATTTCATCAATACCCGTTTCACAGATCTACTAGCTAGTTCGAGACATTAATTTCTTTGACTAATGTATTTCCACAACTTTTCAACCCAATTTCCTGTCTTGGAGTTCCATCGACAGACCTCCATTCATAAAGTTAACAGGTCTTATAACGAGGAAAGGCCGTATTTAGTAGAGAATGGTCCTAGAAAAAATCTTTGGCATTTTCAAGGTCTTCAGATTCATCAATAGATGAACAAACCATAGAAATTTATTTACTTTTCTTAACTAAACAAAGCAAAAGGTTTCATAACCATTCAAAATAAAAAAAATAAATTTAGTTTATTTACAAGGTTAACAACTTAGGTTCAAGAGAATCTTGTCTACCAGCTGGTCATTGACCGACATTTTGGTAATGTTTACAAGGTTAACAACTAAGGCTCCCTTAAGGATCCTTTCTACCAGCTGGTCCTTGGTCAAACCTCTCGTGAATGATTTTTAAAAGGTTAACAACTAAGGTTCAAGAGAACCTTGTCTACCAGTTGGTCATTGGTCATATCTCTTGGTAATGATTTTACAAGGATACTGACTACCCTTCGTCCAGCTGGTCCTTGTCCAAACCTCTTGGCATTGACCTTTCCTGGATTATCTGTACCCATTTACAGCTGGAATTATGAAGAAAGTTGACTTATTCAAAACATGCTGACTGAGACTAGAACCTACGACCACCATTTAACAAGCGGACAACCTGATTGTGAGGCAGGTCTTAATTTAGTCATTAAATAAAAGATAGGCTTCGATTATTGTCTTAACAGAAAAACCAACAAGCATGATCTATTCGAATAGCTTCCAGCCAAAGTTGTTAGGAACTGTCTAACGAAGCAGAAACACCAATGAAGATTTTTAATGGAAGACATGAAATGTCTGGGAGAGGCGTATTGAAGTTAAGTCGAAATGGCTAAATCTATTAAGTAAGCCAAGTACAAAGGGCTAAAGAAATGAAAAGAACATTGTCAATTGATTAACCTACGGTAGATTCACGTTGATTTTATTCTGATGGCGTTAATCTGACATTTGGTACTTTACAGTCATAAACTCTGGTCTGTTATAAGACTCAGAAACAAGTGAGGTAACTAAACAGCAGTGATGACAGTCCAAGGGGTGCAGGGAGACAATAAAAACCCACCTCAGAACCAAGACTGGCTCACCTTGACTTTAAAGAAATTGTCTAGCCAGTGTTGGAGCCAGGTTTACGTTCGAGGGAAAGGGGGGCACGGAGACAATAACAAACCCACCTCAGAACTGAGACTGGCTCACCTTGATTTTAAAGAGATTGTAAAGAGATTGTCTAGCCAGTGTTGGAGACAGGTTTACATCCGAGGGAAAGGGGGTAGGGGCAATATATGAGGTTGTCGGAATCTCTAACGTAGCCCCCTCTGCCCCCCGTTTGGCTCTGCCACTGTGTCTATCCTTTGTATGTGTATCAGGTACATCGACAGAATCAATTTGCATCATTCACTTTTTTTTATTCAAAATATGATATGCCTACTGTCAGCATTAACTTAAACATTGTGTACTCTAGAATCATAAACTTTAAACCAATCTGATACAGTCAAATACAGTCAGTACCAAACTGTAAGAGACATAAGACAGGCACTCTGTTTACCTTAGATAAATATTCAGTGCTAAAGAGTCATAAGAAATAATATCACTAAATGGCTTGACATTGGTTTGTGCAATATAGATTTCATACTCTTTTAGTTTTATTATAATTGCAAGAACCACAGACCTTTGAAAATTTTGTCCCTGATGCACAAAAAGTTTTAAGAAAAACCTTTTACAATCCCTTTAAAACAAGCAGAAAGCCTTGGGTGATAATGATATGGTAATATATGTATGATAATCATAAATATAGATTGAAGAACGGAAATAAACAATGTTTCTATATCTATACTATAACTCACAATAGAGTCCTTCTCAGTCAGTTTCATACAGGTTAATTAACTTTAAAGCTATCATGTCCAAACTAAAAAAGATTCGATAAACTTTAGTTAAAGCTATCATGTCTAAACTAAAACATTTTTCCTTATTTCGGAGAGTCTCTCAATGTATTTTTTTTCTTTTGGAAAAGGAAGAAAGCAAGCAGAACTGAGGTGGTCCTAGCTTTGACCTTCCCCCTTCTTATTCTTTTTCAGGGGGATAAAAACCTTGAAGCCCCCCTTGAGAGTTCTGTGGACCTACCCCCTTCCCCCTCCCCCCCCCCCGACTCCCCATCAATCAGTGATTCATACAAACGCCATGGCTGTACAGACAGCTGAAATTAATATCCCTTATCGGTCATCTTTCCATCTTAAGACCTAGAATCTAATCCTGTGAAACTAGGTTGTGTTTTAATATGTGGTCGATTTAATCTGATTATAATCCGAGATAATCCGACTGATAAGAGACGGATCATCTCGGATTATATCTAATTTGTTGACATTAATATTTATTTATAACTTAAGTCAATAATGTTCAATTTACAATTCAGATTTCAGACTGATGATAAAACAGTTTAAGAAGGAAGTAAGGTCATATTTAGTTTCAAGATTAAAGTAACCCAAGCAATTAAAAATAGAACAGTAGAGCAGGGCATATAACTCGTATATGAAAGCTTAGCACGGTCAAGTGGCTTAAGAGCTTTCGGTTCAGTATTGCTGATAACATTTACTAAAATATGAGAGCTTAAAAAAATCAAGTTTAATGGCACTGAAGCATTAAAAATTCCCTGGATATTAGTATCAGCGGTACCAATGTACCACGAGAGCTTAAAATATCTAAGCGCAAAACAGTTGAGTAGCTTTAGGGCTTCTAAAACATCTGTATCTCCTGGAGCTCTTGCGTCTTTTATACGCATCGCTAATAATATGAAAGCTTAAATCATTAGAGAAGTATGAACATTCCTGCTGTTTGAGCAATACTCATTACATAGCAAAACATAAAAAGGCAAAAAGCTTAAAGCTTACCTGCTGAAAAGGTCGATGTTAAAGAAGACATATTCTCCATTGTCAAAATTTAACTCGTGAGCTTTAATCATGATATTTCTAACAGCGTCCGGCGAGGCACATAGAACTATCACTGAAATTAGAAAAATAATACATTACTAATAACATATTAACTAACATGACATTTTGCTGATGGTAATGTAAATTGTAGAAACGATGTGTACAATAAATTGATGATGACCATGTAAATTGTAGAAACGTTTTGTAACGTTTAGCTGATGGCAATGTAAATTGTTGAAACATTGTGTGCAATAAAACCTTTAAGTAGTATACCATAAAAACTGATGACGACAATGTAAATTGTAGAAACGCTGTGTACAATAAATTGATGATGACCATGTAAATTGTAGAAACGTTTTGTAACGTTTAGCTGATGGCAATGTAAATTGTTGAAACATTGTGGGCATAAAACCTTTGAGTAGTATACCATAAAAACTGATGACGACAATGTAAATTGTAGAAACGTTGAGTAAATAAAACTCATGAGGAAGTATATTTTTCATAAACGCTTAAGATATAATTTTTATTTGGCATTCTGTCTTTAATAGAAGTAACAAGGAAATCTAAGTGGTATACCTACTTTAATGCATTATATACTAATGATATAATAATGCAAGTCAAACAATGATAATGTTTTTACCGGTAATAAACACAAATTATTTAAAGCATTATGTTTGGATCAATATACAAAGCCCGTGGGGCCTCTAGCTCTACTATAGTTGCTCATTCATGGTGTGATTTTAATAGAATTTAAAAAACTACTCATTAAGTGAACGTAGAATTATGAAACTACTATTACTACATGATAATATAATGAGGGTTTGCCAGTGTTCTCGAAATGATCTTAACGCTACGATGTCCTACAGTCATAAATAGGAACAGTCTACTTTGATTTTAGGTAGAATAAGTAGTAATTAACTGTATATAAACCATATGTATATCATGATCATATATACTTATTCCACCTCAAAATAATATGGACTGTTCGTGTTTATGTCTTGAAATCGCACCTGAATCTTCACAAATATCTTTGTTGCTACGTGAACTATCTGAAAGGGATGTCAAGCTGACAAAATCCAAATACCAAACGAATATCATTAACTGCCTTGATCCCCAAAAATTGATGACAAGCAGAAAGTCCAGTGGTAGTGTCCTATTAAGTCTTCAAGAGGGGTTAAAATACCTTAGGCCTAACCCTCTTAAGATGCTTGTTACGCCAACTCATGGAAATTTACAATTTTGTGTTTTTATGGTCTGACAAAAAATGATTTTAATCATACAAATTATTATCTTTGATGTAAAAGATTGACTATTGGAAAAACTGCACGAGTATAAAACTGACTTGGTTTTCACCAATTTAATGGTTTTCTTCACCAGCATTAATAAAACAGCATAATAATATTTTCCTTTATAGCATTTTATAGTTTTTATATTCTATAATCGCAGACCGTTTGATTTGAATTTTAGTTGAGTAGCTTGGTAAGCAACGTCCAACTCCAATAGCTAGCAGATTGTGACACGATAGCAATAAGCCGCCATAAAATACTGTACATCGAGCTAGCAGATTATGACAAGATAACAGAGAGCCACCATTACATACTGTCCAACTACCTAGTAGATTGTGACACGATAGCAGTGATGCACCATTACAGAGTGGTCATCTAGCTAGCAAATTGTGACACGATAGCAATAAGTCGCCATTACATACTGTATATCTAGCTAGCAGATTGTGACACGATAGTAGTAAGCCTCCATTACATACTGTTCAAGTACCTAGTAGATTGTGACACGATAGCATTGTGCCACCATTACATACTGTCCATCTAGCTAGCATAATGTGACACGATAGTAGTGATCCGCCATTACATACTGTTCAACTACCTAGCAGATTGTGACACGATAGCAGTGTTCTACCATTGATCCCAAAAGTAATGTGTAATAACATACAACTGATTTGTGTTGTTAAAAGAAAACAGTACAGGAACAGCAGCCTATGCTCACGGCAGATTTCTGTTGTCAGAATGTTTCCGATTGGTTTGTTTTAGTTAATTCTGGAGTTTCACCACTCAAAGTAAAAATAGATCGACATCTGAAATACGATGGTCTTATCCTTCAAATGAAGTAATCGACAAACGCAAAAGTATTTTTAAATCTTGAATAGTCTACTTGTGTAAGTTGGTGTATGTTTATTTTGATTGTATACGAACACTTCACAGCAGATACAACTATGAATGGCTTTTACAAATCTTTACCAAGTTTGTTTATTTTCATTTTGACAATAATTTTAAGATCTGATCTCAACTAGAAAACGTCTGTGAAGATTGAAAATAAACAAGTTTTTAAAACTTTAACTCTCGTCAATGATGTTTGTTTTAACTAATTGCCGAATATAAGCAGGTTAAAGAATTAAAAGATAAATCATGCTGAAATCAGAACCTCTGATGAGCGATGCTTTAATTAATATTTTATGAAATGTATGTCGATGTCCATGCCCATTATGAGAGTTTGCAATAAAAATTCCCTCACGGGATTGTAGCTTATTCAAAAAAGCATCACTTAAATGACAAACTTGTTCATAGCAAACTAAAGCCCGTCAGTATGTAACAACCAGAAATATCCCACAGTTCCAGATCGTGTATTCCAATTTTTAAGTGAAGTATTTGTTCCATACTAGGCCTGTACATCTTGGGACTAAATCCCTCCCTTCTCGAAATCGACATTCTTAGATGTAATTTTTTAAACCATCCCATACTTTAAATTGCATTAAAATATTTCCCATTCTTTTAACATCAATCACGTGACTTTTAAAGCCCGAGGTTAATTGAACATGGGAAATTTCGTCCAGAAAATGAAAATGAATTAACATGAGAATAAATTGAGGTGCTAAGAGGTCGAACCAATCATACAGAAGATGCAGAAATTTCATACTCTTTTACCGATTTCATTCCATTTTAATATGAGAAACTTTCCCTAAACGCGATGAAAGACGCATGATAAGATTTCAGTCTTCTGAACTCCAAGACCAGCAGCAATCCATCATAAATAGCTTAGGAACAATAATGACATGTGTTAATTTTATAATATTCCAGTGAGTATCGTGGTCAAAATGTCCCGCTTAACCTGCTGAAGAACTGACTTTCAACAATTCAAATCACTTCTGAAAATTCATTTAATTGTAGACGAATGAGAAGTTATCAACTTAGACTGTGTTGGAGTACATGATGTTTCATCAGCTTCCTGCAACACCAAACCACATATTCTGTTGGAACAGATATAAGCTTGCTCACCAGACTTGATTGTTCGGAGGGGTAATGGTGTATGGTGTATACTTGTAGTAATGGAATTGGTCGATTTTCCCGTGTCTGAATGATGATCAAGACAGTGTCATTAATCTACTCTCTTTCGATTTCCAACGTCGAGATCTTTAACATGAAAAGCCTGTATCACACGGGGCTCGGGTTTAATGTTCCCCCGAACGACTAAACGTTTTTACAGTGGTATTATAAGGTATTGACAAATCACTTTTGGTTTCCATCTAAATTTCCTTTTTTTAGAAACTTGAAGTCTGTTGCCATACCAAATACTTTTTCTAAAAAACTTTAGAACTTTTATAATTCTGATCTATTTATAGATCTGCTATCTATATTGAGAATAAATTAGCCTAGTATTGCACCATGTAAATGCCATTAAGTTTTAACATTGAATATTCTTCAGATTCTACAGACGGATTTCATTCTTCACTGGTGCAGAAGATTTCTCTTTAAGTGAAAACACAGATTTTATCGTCAGAAACACCCTTGAGGTTTGTTACAACAAAAAAACTTTGAGTAAAATGTGTTTCAAGTCAAATTTTAACACGAGCATTTTTACACTGTCATGGTCTGTTGTCAGAACTACAACCATGCAGATCTCCCCAACCAAGCCACCAAGTCATCCCTCCACAAAACCACCAAGTCACAAAGCCACTCCTTCCTAAAAGCTACCAAGAAACATCTCCCTAATCAAGCCACCAACCCCCAAACCAAGTAAGCTGCGATCCCAAGCAAATCAATAGCACTAACCAAGCCACCCTCAAAACCAAAGCCTCCCCCAATAACCAAACTATCCCCGCCCCCTACCCAAGCAGACTCTTCCTCAACAAAGCTATCCCTACCTGACCGATCCACCAAGCCACCCTCGACACCAAAGCCTATCCCAATAACCAAACTAACCCGCCCCCTAACCAAGCAGACTCTTTCTCAACCAAGCTATCCCTGCCTAACCGATCCACCAAGCCTCCAAGCTAGCAGCGCCTCATTTGCGTGAAGAGATTTAGATTGGCAATGACGATGTAGCTGGCCCCTGGGGATAAGCCGTCTATGTGGTGAAATTGTTATTCAGAAAGAAACAAATCAAGCAAACAATTTAAATCTGAGGTGAAGTGAGCCGTTTTCAATGTTATGTTTTCTTGGCAGGAATCCATCCATCCGTTCACTTGGAAAACTGTTTTTTTTTATTTGCTTGAACGAGTCGTGTCAATTCAATAGGTTACTGAAGACAAGACAATCCGCTTTTTGAAAATTGTTTTATAACAGCGGTTAGATTTAGTTAATCTTTAAAAGTTTACAGAAACCGCAGACGTCTGGTGAAAGTCAGAATGGTGTTTCAGAAGTTATTAGTGTCCCCGATAGACCTCTTTATGTGTGTATCGGAAACAAATGGTGAAAGCGAAAGTAACAGCAGGCGCCCGAGAAACAAAAATGATGTAAATAGAGTCTGTACGTGTCTCTGATAGACATAATGTGAGCCAGCCACCACCTTCTGTCCAATTTCTATTAGATGCAGGTCTGGAAGAGACGTCATAGACCTAAAACATATCGGGAGTATTTGCCCGGCGGCTCGGCAATCATGCTTAAACAAGTTATAAAACATCTTCTTCATTGAATGTAAATAAATCATTCGTGAGGAATATCGGAATCTTTGTCTAAGATGCAGAGGTTATTCACGCTTATAACTTGTGACAATTGCGTTACAGTCGATCCGATATTGACGTAGATCTATTTCCGTATCGCCGCAAGACAACCGTCTGTCACA